ACACTCCACTACATAAGATCAGCTATCATTAATTTTGTTCTTTTGCATTTAGTTATTTTCATTTTTATTATCTTCAAAAAGCCAGATGATACAGCTTCACAGGCATTCCCATTCCAAAATGTCCATTTTATTTTCTCCAGCAATGCTACTTTCAGTTAACAAGTAAAGTGTAAATGAGATGAGCTCACAAACAATTGAGAAAAGTTACTGCTGTGCTCAAAATATTAAAAACTTTATAGAAGGCAATAAAGGTCCCGCCAAAGCAAAAATATGCAACTCATAAATTTCCTTGCAGAAAGTATCTCATATATATATATATCTATGTATATGTACACAAACACAAAGATCTTGCCTGAAGCTGCTTATTTCCATTGTTAATTACAAAACTTACTGTGGAAAGCAAGGAATGGTATCTGGCTCATAAAAATGCTTAGTAATTGTTAAGAATTAAGAAAAGAACCCATTTAATTTAAGATATATCTCTCAATTAGTGCTGTGTTATTTTTGTGCATTATGTTTACTGTGCAGAATTTCTCCACAAGGAATCAGATAATACACATCAGTTATCATTTTGCTTTGCTACATGGACATGACAGAGTTAAATTATGAAGGAGCAAGTAGACCCTTGCAGCTCCAGGAGAAAATGAGAGCAATCAATTAAAAATAAAAATGAAGGAAGACAACATCTACTCAAATAAATCAATCTTTCTACTCCATTTTGACCTCATTCACAGGGATTTTGGTTTTGCTCCCAAAAGTCCATAATTTCAACACACCTCAAAATAAAAATAAAGTCACGTACTTGTCATAGGCTTATTTTTAATGTGGTCATTAATGGTTGGATCAAACCTCAGTGAAGCCTGAGGCTTCTGCAAGCAGATAAAACCTGGTGTATGAACAGAATAATTATAAATTGCAGGATTTTAGCTACATGCTCTTCAGCCACTTCTATGAACTTGCACGGAAGATTTTCAGCTTTTATTAACAAGCAAAACTCCACAGCCATCTCGCCACTCTTCAGTGCAAGGGTAACATTCATATTCCCTTCCTGAAATCACAGCAGGTGAGCAACATAAAACAAAGTCCAAGTGAAGGGCATGAGAAATATTAACTGCCTGTGATTCGGGAAGTTAACTCACGCTTGCAAGTAGATTAATGGATAATAGTTCAAACATTTTCATCCTCAGCTGCCCACACCATGACCCAAATCCATTCCTTTTCAAAACAGTTCTTTAGAGAAGCTTTCAATGAGGAAACAAACATTGCAGCAACTCTCAAAAGCCAAAGGACCTTACAAACTGTAGAGCAGGACACCTGCAGACCCACAAAAACCCACCCGGGATGGGATGGGATGGGATGGGATGGGATGGCATGGGATGGGATGGGATGGGATGGGATGGGATGGGATGGGATGGGATGGGATGGGATGGATTGGCTTGGGCTGGGCTGGGTTGGATTGGGTTGGATTGGATTGAATTAAATTGGGTTGGATTGGATTGGGTTGGGTTGGGTTGGGTTGGGTTGGATTGGATTGGATTGGATTGGATTGGATTGGATTGGGTTGGATTGGATTGGGTTGGATTGGATTGGATTGGATTGGATTGGATTGGATTGGATTGGGTTGGGTTGGGTTGGATTGGATTGGATTGGATTGGATTGGATTGGATTGGATTGGATTGGATTGGATTGGATTGGATTGGATTGCAGCACGGCTCCAGCTGGGGTTTGCATTTGGTTCTGCCTGCAGCCCCCAGGAAAGGCACTGCAGCAAAACCCACCCTGGAAGGGCGAGATTAGAGATCAAAACACACAATCTCTTGCCAGAGCAGATGAAAGAAAAATAATGTCACAGCATTGAAAGCCAGGCGGGGATAAACAGTACTAAGAAATTACAAAATGAGCTAGAAAACAGAAGCTGGAAAAGGCATAAATATTAGCTCTGGCATTAAATTAATTGGCTCTTCCCCCACCCACTAATCATATCCAGGTTGTACAGAGTCAATTTACTCTCCTCCAAAGACCAGTCTCAACCAAATTTCTTAATAATAAGAACAAGGGAAGGAGAAGAGGGAAGTAAGTAAAATCAAAATGATGCTACTTAAAAACAAGCAGTATGATTTTTTTTTTAATAATTCAGAATTGGAATTCCCTGTCTTAAAACTTAAGTTAAACCAAGAAATAGGGACAGTTCAAAAAAATAATTAGATATTTCAAAGAATGAGACTATCTCCATAATTACATAATATTTTCCCTTTATCTTAAAAAGGAGTGAGGATTATATTACAAGGTATAGGTCAACAACTAATGAACAAGATGAAGGATAAATGTTTTTAGAGAGACTCAGGCAGCCATCTGCAAGAGGAGAAGAAAGGAAATGGCAAGCCTCTTAACCTTTACTGTTTTAGCTCACAATTAATCTGGTAGGAGATAAGAGGCCCATAATCCTTTTATGAGTTTTATCAGAAATAATAAGCCAACAAATTTACAAAACGCATATGCAAACCAGTGTATCCTAAGCTTATTAAGGATGAAGCAATCCCAAAAAAGAAGGTCATAACTGAAGCATCCTGTCACAGATGCTTAGAGAAAGGATGTGAGAAACAGGGCAAGTAAAGAACAACCCTTTCCTTGTTCATCCCTCCCAGGTACAATCCATAATTTCAGAACTCCTGTGCTAGAGGTTGCATTTAGAAAATTATTTTCAGCTGCTCCCTCTGGACCGTTCTTCCATAAGGGCTGTGTCTAATCCTTTTTTGAACCTATTTATAATTTGGCTTCTGCAGTGCCCAGTGTAAAGTCTTCCATCATTTATTTACACACTGTATGAAAAAAAAAAAGACCTTGTGTTTTCTTAAGCTTCCACATGACAAATTTATTGAGGTAGAGATTAGCTCTTAAAACAGAGGATAGTTTAAATGGCAAAAGTGCTGGGGACAAGAATACTTAGGAATAATCAATACCACCTGTGCCAAAAGAATAATTGAATTGCAGTAGTTTGCCTAAAGACAGAAAAATGAGACAACATTATAGCAGTCATCAGGAAAATAAAAGGCTGTTGCAAAGAGGAAAGGAATTATCTGTTCCTCATGGCCACAGTGAATAAGCAATAGGTTTAAATGGCGTAAGGAAGCTCAAAGCTGGATATTAGAGGAAAAAACTTCATCCTAATAATAGCAAGGACTAATAATAATCCAAAGGACTGCTCTGACAGTTTCTCTGCTAGCAAACTAGGGGAGAACCTTTCTGAAAGGACACAGATCTGCTCAGCCCAGAATCCATGGTGGGATTTGCAGAGTTCTGTTATTTGTTTGTTAACAGTTCAGGAACTGTTGCTTCTGCCTTAACATATAACTACTCTCTCTCTACTCTCTGAATTCTAAACTCAAGTTTGAGAGCAGAAATCTGGCTTTCTGCAGGGAGGATAGGTTTTACTTCTGGGCCGTGTCACACTGGTCATGATAAAAACTACAGTTCTCAGGGGGGAAAATTATTTAAAACTAAAGACTCAGTGGTCATCTAAATCAAAATTCCACATTTTCCTGCAAGGAATTTGCTGAAACCATGTCTGTTTGACAGAACATGCAATAAGAATGTAGCTCTGGGGTTTAGCCTCTCTAGCTACATATAGTGAAGAGATCAGATAATTCTATGTAAAACAGAATTCAGTTTAAGTGGATAAATATAGGTAAAGTTGTTTGTTCATAATCAAAGAATATGTTTAATCCAAACACTTTGTTTTGCTGTTCCTTCCTGACCATATTTCACATCGAGGTATCTCAGAGGACAAAATTATTTACAGAGTTAGTTAACTGTAAATATCTTACCTTGTTGGTATAAATCAGGGATATAATGAAACATCAGCTGCTACTTAAAGTGCTTGGCAGGACAGTTCATCTCATATTTATGTGCAAGCATAAACTTGGTGTGTCCTGATGTATAATTGCAGTAACAATTCTATTGAATTTATCACTGCAAAGCTGCAGATAGAAGTGTGCAGCAAATCTCATTGTTTTCATCATAAGTGTTTTATATGTTTTCCAAATTGTTTGTATTTTTCCCAAATCTTCCACGCTTGGACAACACATTTTTAAAAACTATTATGAGAATCTTGAAAGGATTGAAATACGAGTCGAAGAATTTAGAATAATCTGATTAATAAACCTATAAATATAGTGTGTTCTGAGAACAGTTTTTCTTACTGAGAGAGAGAAAACAGGTGCTGAGAGGGCTGGAGCAGCTCTGCTGTGAGGACAGGCTGAGAGGGGAGATTGTTCCTGCTGGGGAAGAGAAAACCCCAGGGAGGGCTCTGAGGCCAGAGGAGCCTGGAATGTTTCCCATTGTGTTTCAAGGTTGTTTATTCTTCTTATTTAAACATTCTCTCTCTGACCTGCCCAGCTCTGGCTGGCAAGGAGGCCGTGGCACTCTGACCCCGAGCCTCGGGCAGCTCCCACCTTATATACTCAAAACTCTGTGTCTGTTTACAATTTATTACCAATTCCCATCACCCATGTTAGACTGTGAATCTCTGCCTTAAACCGATAGAAAAGTGTCACCATCACACCAAGACATGGAGGGCAAGAAGAAGAAGGTCAGGACACCCCCAAATCTCTCCATCTTGTACCCCCTTGAACCCCATTCTAAAAATCAAAAAATTCTACTTTTCCACCCTGTGTTAGTTCAAATATCACACTACTCAAACCCTTGTGATTTGTAATTCCTCATACAAAATTGGCAGCTTTTTCCACGGGCTAAAATCAAAGCCAGGGGTGTTTTTGAGTTTGTGCCCCTGGAGGCAGCCAGGGCAGCCAGAGGGATGTGCTGGACCCACAGGAACCCCAAATCCTGACCCCAGGCAGAGCTGCTTCACAAATGGCAGCTCTGAGACAATGAATATCCCTTCACTTCTGCAATGCCCTCAATATCTCCTTGTCTACCAGCTGGGTGTTTATTCATTCCACATTGCTTCATTTGTTATTTTCCTTTATTCCATTTCCTATTTCAGTCTCCTCATTAATTTTTATGCACTTTTATTTTCATTTGTATACTTTTCATCACTTCAATATCCTAATATTTCAGCAGTCCAATTAGCTACTTCCATATCTTAATCACACCGAGACTCCTTATTCAGCTATAAATATAATTTTATTACTGCTGTTTTAATGACTAAGTGTTATAATAACTATTCTATATAAAACAATTTCTCTTAAAACTTTCCCCATTTCCTTCACTTGTCTATAATTCATTTCATCTCTCACCATACTTTTTATTTTGTTCAGTAGATCCTAGAGAATCCCAAAATATTTTCTGTATTGGAAGCTAATTACCTGGGGAGGTGCTAAACTTTCACTGTTTCACCATAAACTTAAGGAGCAGATATTAAACATTTTCCCCACACTTATCAGTGTTCTAAACTTGCTGAATGAACCAAGCCTGAAGACAGGGAGCATCCCCACGTTAAGAGGAATAGTTTTTTAATTAACATGCAAGCACAGCCCAGATGGGCATTATGAATGTAATGCACAGCTCTGTTCAGGATATCATCATCATTAATAAAATATATCTCAGTAATATATGAAACCATTACTTCTGAGCTGAAAATCCAGCATTATTCTCAGCTTTATTTTTCAGAAAGACTATATACTTGCAGTGAAATGGTTAATATTTATTATATTTATTAATTTAGTACCATTCCATCTTCTAAAATCCCCATTATTTCAGGCAGATCATTAACTTCTGAGGTGCTGATGCTTCTAACTATCAAATAAACTGCAATGAAAAGCTCCAAGTCAAACCATAAAAATTTCTTCCTTTCTAATTATCCCGTTCTGTGAGCTGGAAGATTTGTCTGTGGCACGAAGGTGCAGGTGAGAGCAAGGTCTTCTGCAGGAAACATGGACAGAAATGTTCACCCCATCTCATCCTGAAGGTGGAAACAAAGAAGATTTAGGTCATTTCAGAATCAAAATCACATTATTCAGTATAAATTTCTCTTCAACTTCTACACTTTCTAACTTTAATTTGATTTTATGAAGGAAGAATTAAAAGCATTGAAGGAAGTACAAAGTTATGCAGCTTTAACAGTCTGCATCCAAGTAGCCACATTTATTTATAAAGCCCCATCACCCTGAACTCCTTCACAGGGGATTGCAGGAGCATTTTGTATTTTTTAAAATTTATATTTAAATTTACATTTAAATTTATATTTAAATTTATATTTAGATTAATTCCCTTCCCAGCCCACAGGTGTTGTGTGCTGAGGTGGCTGTGCTTGCTCAGTGTCCCACTTTCAGCAGTTTATTCCCTGCAGAAGGTGGAACCCAAGCCCCTGTGACTCTGTACTGGTGCAACCTCCTGTCCCTGCTTATAAAACAAATCCTCCTGTGCAGACACTTTCAGTTCCTCTTGATATTTTCTCATCTTTCATCAATATTTCATCAATAGAGGCTTATTTTTGTAGGGGAGAGTATCTTTATACATCTTATTTTACCCAAAATGGAGACCTAAATCTGTTATTGTAGAATACTATTATACAATATTATTAATAATATATAATAATAATAATAATGCATTCGTATGTTATAATATATAATATATAATATAATATACAATATTATATTATATATTATATATTTTCTATTATATATTATATATTATATATCATATCTTATATCTTATATATTATATATTATATATTATATCTTATATCTTATATATTATATATTATATATTATATATTATATATTATATATTATATATTATATATTATATATTATATATTATATATTATATATTATATATTGTATATTGTATATTATATATTATATATTATATATTATCCATAATATATAATATATATTATCCATAATATATATTATATATTATATATTATCCATAATATATAATATATCATATAATATATAATATTACATTGTTATATAATATATCATCATATACTTTTTTTTTTTTAAGACATGCCAGGTGGACATTAGACTTACTGGTACATTTATTTTAGACCCAGAAACATAAAATCTTGACAAACCAGATGGAATTGCATTAATATCAGTGCCAATTTGTATCAGCTGGACATGTGATTGTGTTTTACAAACCCAAAACTCCGTTGCCATCCCCAAAGGATCCCAGAGAAATGGTCTTGTCAAGTGTATGTTTCCTAAAATCAGATTCAGTAAATCCTATCAGAGATTTAAGATAGAAATTGATAATGTAATGCTCTGTAGCTGATAGCTGCTGTAATAGATCACCTGCAGGTCTGGGAGCCATGGAACAGTTCCCTTTCAGTGGCAAAGAAAGTAACTTTATCCCTGCTGAGACAGTTGGATTTAATTTCACAGAAATACATGAGCTCATGATCGTTTACACTGCTAATTGACATTGCTAATCACTACTGATGTCTCCTTTTAAAAATGCTCTTCTACTTTCCACTAAGTTAAATATTTTAATTTAGAAATTCATGGTATACAAGGTTTGCTGCCTATTGCAAAAAATGTAGCACTAATATCAAGATATGATACTTAAAAGTTGCTCAAATCTGTTTCAATAATAATTTTTAAAACAGCTGTTGTTAGAAAATGAGAGATGAATTATTTTACAGATTGTTTTCCTTCACTTTGGGGGTCTTCTCATCCATCAGAAAGAAGTCTCCTCCTCCAGCCTTGTTAGAAAACTTTACTGTCTTAACCTAACTTATTATCAGCACAATAACATTTGTCTTGATTTGATACCTACCATTACTCCTGCATGTTTGGATAGGTCTTGTTTTTTAACAATACACAATCCATTTCCTTCTGACTATCATCACTCTTCCTGTATTCTCTAGAGACTTTTCTCATGTTTCAAATTCAAGTAGCTGGCAAGATGCTGTCAAAAACTGGATGTTTTAGTATTTTCTCAAAACCTTTTGAGACATAAAGATATTATTTTTTTTTTTCATGCTGTTTTGAACTGTGAAGTATTACAAGTCAAAATTTAAAATTTCCTGAGTGAAATGTTTGTTCTGTTAATCAAAGTTTCTCTGTTTCAGTGTGGTCTCTTCAATTTCAGAGTGCAAAAGGCAGGGCATAGGTCAGCTGAGAAGATGAGAAAACTCTACCAAAAAGTCACCAAAACCATTTAATAGGATAATAAATTAGCATTTTACAGTAGGTCACATCCACATTCGACATGCTAGGGTAGGAGACCATGTCCAGAAAAATCTGAATGACTGAATGGCGTAGGTGCACCTCTGAAAAACCCCCAAAAGAACAATTTCAGTGGAGCTAACAAATATTTTGGAATATTTTTCCTTCTTTTCCTGGAAACTCTGCAAGTATTTATCCTTCAGATAATACCTCTCACAGATAAATTTCAACAGACATTCTAACCACACTCATCAACTTACTCCTGATTACTCTTCTCCCCACAAGGAATGTCTGTGCCTGCATTTTGTCTCTATTTTGTGATTATAACTGTGCAATAATTGGCTGTACTTCCCATCACACAGAGTTAGAACAATTATAATTATTTTATAAATGGGCTTGGAGGAGGCACTGCTGCAGTGCTTACAGAGAACCTTTGTCTCTCTGCGCACGTTCCTCAGAGGATAATAAGCTTTAGGAGCTGAGAGTGTGTTTGTATTCTTGGGTCAACAGAAGTACAGTATAAAACTGGAAGAATGGAAATGTATTAATACTGATTTAGGGATGAAACGCTGGCAGTGCTGAGATATTTACTGAGAAAGGCAACGAGATGTTGACAGGAATGAAAATTGATGCAGGTTCGCTTCTCAGCTTTCTGCAATTCCAACAGCAACGAACTTTAGTGTCCCCTAAATCTGCCACTCTACCGAACCCAAACATCCCATGCATTCAGGACAACAAAAGCAATGATAAAGACCATTATTCCCACATTCTCTATTATTTTTTTCGCCGTGAATTCCCCAAACAACATCCCTGCCTGTGCTCTGGGAGCTCTGCAGGAGCTTTGGGGCTGCAGGGCCGATTCCTCTTTGCAGGAAACAGTTGTCACAAACAATGACAACAGAAAATACTCGCAGCATTCTTGCTCCAGCAGTGTCTTATTTCGGACTGCACCGAGTCATTTTCTCCACGAGATTGTCTTGCCGTGTTTACAAGATAACAGCCAATAACTGCTCAGTGCTGCTTAGGTGGAAAGAAAAGGGTTATAGAAATTTCAAGGCCAAGTCTAGGTAAATATGATCCTTGTATTTCCACTACAGACATCTAGACACTTCCAGCTGTTGAAATTATTGCTAAATATATTTACAGTCTTTGTACAATAAAAAGCTTTATTACCTTTACTACAGGCAGAAGAAAGGAGCTTTAAATCTTTAGTTCTGAAGCAGTATCTCCTGTCTTAAAGGCAATGAAGCCTTTCAAGGGGAAAAACCAGCACACTCTAAAAAAGGTGGTTTATGATGTTGTATCTTTGTTGCAATTTTGGTTCATATATTTTTATTAAGTGTAACCTTTATATGTAAATGAAATGATTATCCAACACAAAGTATGTTTTCATAAAGTAAGAATAGGTTTTATGTCCTCAAAGATAAAGCAGCATAAAGCAGTCAGGCAGCTCAGCATGTACTTGATGGTTGTGAAATGAACTATTTGATTTCCTATTACAGCCTTAACACTCTGCACTGTGCCACAGCCCCCAAACCCACACCATCAGACAGCCAGCCTTTCAGCAGGGAGCCCAACACAGAAATCTGTATTTCTAATAGGTCGAATTCCTCATTTAAAAAGGCTTGGAAACAACCCCTACATGGTGAAATGTAGGGAGAGGGAAATGAGGATCATGTCCTAAAAACCCAGGGAGAGACGAATGTCCTCAGCACAAACAAAAGGGCTGGGACCCGCTGTGCTCTTTATGTGTTTGTGTTTTTGTTCTCTGCTTTTTCAATTGCTCCAGGAGTGGAAAGAAAACTCGGGACAGGGGTTCTGCTCCCTCTCCCTGAGCCCGAGAGGGGTTTCACAGCATCCCGGGAAATACAGGGGTCAAAATTCACATTTCAGGTCTGTGTACAGCTCACACACGCTGAAGAAAAGAACCAAAGCCATCAGTTCCATCCACAGCATGACATTATTTTGAAGGAGAGAATAAGGTGGCTTTAAAGATTAGTTTTTCTAACACTCACCATAATAAAAAGCACAGCAAGACTGGCATGAGGCTTCCCCAATTCAATCTGAGTGGTAAAGGCAACCAAGGAATGCTCTGGAAAAGAACCTCACCAATACTGGACCTACTGAGAGATAGGAACAAAATTATAAAATCACAAATCTACACATCATGCATGCCTTTATTTTTCTCTAAAACTCCTCTTTGGTTCAGAGGATAAAGTTGAATTCACCGTGGGATCACCTGGAAAGCCCGAGGATGTGTCTCCTTTTAACAGGAGTGAAAGTGGCTAAAAGCCAAAGAATTCAGGGCACTCCAGTCCCAGATGGCAAATTAAACCCGTCACTGAACAGCTTTTTGGGTAAGCAGCTGTCATAAAAATCTTTATTAATAAATTGATGAATAAAATTGTTCTGCTCCTAAGCAAGGTTGTTTATTCCTGAATCAACAACTCCACAAAGGGTTTATACAGAAAGCCTTGCCACTTGTTATATAAATCTGGATCTTCACAGTCCATCTATTTATTAGCTCTTTATTTTCTTGTTCAGCAGGTGTACAGTGCTGAGCACAATGACTCCTCATTAGATCCTGTAACTGCTACAAGAACAAAAAAAAAAAACTGACATGCAGTTTAAAAACAACCTACTGGGTCAGTCCCTGTATTTTTTCTGATTTTACATTTTTGTGGTCCTGGGCATTCCTTTAATCTATCATCACAAGAGAATCTGTCAATGGAGAGAGTTACGAAAATAAGATAGGATTGGAGAAAAAAATATAGATTTTTTACTTTGGGTGATTAAATTCTCGCTGACATTAACATATGACAACCTGTTAGAATGATTTGTAAGCCTTTACAGTTTTATAAATAGCTTTATCTCTCCATTCCACACGAGGAAAAAGAGAAATATTATTTATTGTACCTTTCTACCTCCACAGCACGGAATATTTCAAAGACTCATTTTAAGTTTTGTGGAAGTCTCTTGATATTAAAGGGCTGCAGATAGAAGATGATGAAACCTCCTTTCTATCTGCTGGCCCCCCGCTGCACACGTTGTTCCGCTGTGTTCTGGGAGAGCTGCCTCTAATCCACACAAAGGAGCACTTCCCTGCACTGGTGAGCAGTTGGGAAGCCAAAGCAAGCCATCACCATCCCATTAAATCCTGCTGAGTTCCTCAGAAATGCTGAGGATGACTGGAAATATGTAATGTTTGCTTTACAGATGGACTGAATATTTATCATATTTTGTTTAGGTGGGGTTTTTTTTGTTTTTTTTTTTTCCTCTTAGAAAATGAAATATTTGGTTTTGTTCTCTTAGTGGAGCACAAGGCAAATTATATTAATTAGTCTATTTACATGATTTCCTAACTTGGAGCAGTGAAAGTTGCCTTTAGCTAGCAAATAATTGAAATTACAATTGCTGGAGATATCACAAGTTTGTTTTTTTAATGATATCAAGCCCTATCAAGCTCTGATAGGACATTAATAGCTACTTCCCTTCCCTGCTGTTGTTTTTTCTCCCCACTAAGCCATTCCAGTGTACTCAACACCATAAAAAAGAAATACATGACAAGAAACAGTAATCTTCCAATTTTATTCCCCAGACTTCAGTTTTACTGGTGCATCCCTTTGGGAACATAATGACAGAGCTTTGCTTTCATAAAGGCACTAGAAATTGATTGTAGTCTAAAAGTTATGATAAGATTTTGGGGAAGCAACCAGTTTTGCTAGAAACAAAAGAGAAGCACGAAAAAATACAGAAAAGCCAACACAGCAGAAATATATTTTAGTACTGTAGGAAATTCTTACCAGCATGAATATTGTTCTTTTCTTTGCTTTTAGAAATCAGAGGGGAGAAAGAAGCTCATTAATTCAACATTTAAATTCTAGAATAGAGGGAAAACTCAGTCAAACACAACAGTTTCTATGATAAGAGAATTGGAGACCATCTCTTACCGGGCAGATGCAATCTGGACTTTTATCAGGATGGATTTTAATTAAGTAATAGGCATTACAGATGCGAATAAAGCTGTGAATAACATTTCTTCCTCCCAGCCTAACAGTGTTACTCCAAGAACGTCAAAAGACTCAGGAGCACCAAGCAAACTTTGGAGGGAGAACATGAAGCTGAGTCCAAATGAAACTTTATTTTCTCACTTCAGATTTATCACACAAGGCCCTATCTTGACCCTATGGTTTGCACTGACCGTAGATGAAGAGAGAGCACAGAAAAATAGCTGTGATGTTCTGATTTTTAAAAAGAGACAAGAGTTGATTATTTTTTTCAGAGGGGATTATTTTTTTCTGAGTGGATTTTTTTTTCAACAAAATATTGTCTAGAAATTTCCAGAAGCAACATTCAACAGGTTTCTGTGAACAATCTTTTAAACTCACTAGATCCTGATGAATACAGAGAAAAACACTTATGCAGTTCCTACAGAATGTTCAGAAGTTTTCTATCTCTCAGATGCCTGGCAGCTGTTTAAAACTTAACATCGGGCTGAACTATTTCAGAAAATCCATGAAACATGAGAAAAAGTGAGCAAAACTCCAAGAAACATTATAAGGACTTCTGTTTGGTGAACTGAAAATTCAGTTAACCTCTCAGGAGCGAATGTGCCAAATTTGGAGATTAAAGTCAGTTATAGAGTGAAATGGGCATTTTTATTTCTGCTTCGAGTGCAAGTCGCAGCACATTGCTGAAAATGAAGCTGCTTCCAAAGCCTCCATTACAGTTTTAAGGAGAGAAATTAGGGCTGAACTTCTGTGTGCCTGTTGCCCATTAATAATGTGTTGGCTCAGGGGGAGGTGACAGAACAGGGACTGGATATGGGGCAGGTCACCAAGGAAGAGCAGACACAGACCCAGACATGTGAACGCTCAGCAGCAAAACTCATTTTAGCCTCTCAAGCCCACAGTAAATCCAAACATGTCCATTTAGAGACAATAAATCCCTTCTAAAGAGCAGAGCTTCATTTTCTACAATAGACTATACAAATTGGAATGCTCCAAACAGACACTGGCGGTGACTTTTTTTCCTGCTGCAGTAACACCAATGTTCTTTTTTCTCTCTGTGCTTTCCCTTGTCTGCTCTGTGTCTCTGTCACTAACGCCGTGCTGAGGAAAAGCTCTGCACAGACTAAAAGGGAGCCTTGGGAGGCAGCTGACAACATAATCTTGATCTGGAGGAACACTGCTGAGCACGAGTGCAAGTGGGCAGCGCAGCTTCCAGAAGGTCATTCCGTGCAGAGGAGGGACTCTTAACTCCAGGCACTTTGCTGGAGACACCAGACATTTCTTATCATTCTGAGCCCATCAGCAATTTCTTTGTTTTTAAGGGTTGCAGACACTGCTCAACACAAACCTCTGGATTTTCTCCAGCAGTCTGCCTCCAGAGCCATGAAAGCATTAGCACAGAAATATTTCTGTGAGACAGCATCCCACAAGTGCAGCCTCGCCAAGGCAAGAGCCCAAGATGTGTGCCCAGTTCTCCACAAGTGTGGAAGCATAAAATGCAGGATATTCCAAAGGCTGAGCTCGTTTCCAGCTCAAAACAGGATTATACACTACTGCTTACCTTTTAATCAGAAATTATTTTTAAAGATATTTTATATTGTTGTATTATTTTATATTCTTTCAACTGGGAAATAAACTGAAAATGATACTTCTTCACTCATCTGCATGTTTCACCCTCATTAAGTGAACTCTGCTGTATTCTGTGCATTAATCTTGCATAAATTAGAGTGTGAGGAGCTCTGACCTTTGTTTCCCTCATCCTTGGGAAGAAAATCGATGTGCTTTCTGCCTTCATGCACACATGCATACATGCAAAGTTCAGCTCTGGGTATTCTGATGTACTCATTCCACAGTGAGCTGAAAGTCTTGAATCAAGAGACCATTCATTTTGATAAACAAATTAAGTGAAGAAATAAAGAAAAAACACATTCAATAAACAATTCAACATGCATCGTGGGAGCCCAGTGATCTAAACTCACAGAAGCCAGCAAAACACTCAGCATTTTTGTGAGGGTGACATTCCAGTTTGAAAATTTTACCCTGAACGAGCTGACTTAACAGCATGAAAAATTTAGAGAAAATGTAGCAGTAAACTTTTTGGACTCATTTCAGTGTAAAAACACCATCAGCAAAGCTGAGCCCCAGGTAAGGGAATAACCAAAACCAGTATTTGAATGACACTGGCAAGAATAAGAAAGTGCTTCAGTAGGGGCAGCTGTAAAAAAAAACACAGTTTGGTAACCAGGATGTGAGCCAGGCCTCAGGAGGGAAAAATCCCTGAGACCTTCCCAGTTGGACTGAAGGGTCTGCAGAAAGCTGCAGCACCACATTTCTCTGTGCCCCAAACCACACCTGGGAAACAAACACAGCCCTGCACAGCCACAGGAGCTGTTAGGAAGGGAGCAGGCGTTGAATCAATGGTTCCAGCTTTAGGGAGGCACCAGAACAAGGAAAGGACAAGCCAAAAGACAAAAAAAAAACCCCAAATTCTGACTAGAAGTCTTAAGTGTAACAATTTATAGCATGAGTAGGCAATAAAACATAGAGGAAGGGAATACATTAAATAAGGAGAGAAAGTTTATTTTGGCTGGCATGTTCCTCTGCTGTAAGAAATAAATCTGGTTTTGTGAGAACTAATCCTGCTACACTGTATTTTTTGCCTCTACTGCCAGTCTGATGTTCCTTCCCTGATATAATTAAAGAGGTGGCACAGGACCTACTTGCTTTCATACTGGGAATAAGGAATAACTGCTGATACAAGCTAACAGCTGGAAGCATGTAAAATAAACATAAGCTAAGCTGCTGAAATCAGAGATCCTTTTCAAGAAAAATATCTGTCTGCCAATCACAATTTAAACTCACACACCACATGGCCCTAAAATAGCACTTAGGAGGAATAATCAGGGCTCTATGTTATTTTGGGAAGGTAATGGATTAGAAAGATGCATTGTTTTAAATCAGTCATCAGCTGAAGGAGTGGCAAATCTTTAATAAAGCCAAGATTAGTTTTGTAAGTGAATAAACCAGCAAAAAGCTGGCTGGGTGTTAGTAATCTTCAAAGCTTGATTGCTTTTTCTGATAGCTTTAGAAAATTAGTGGATGAAAGCATGTGTAATATATCTGGTCTGAGTAAAACACTTGATGTAGTGTCTTACAAAATCTCTACTTGCAAAATTAATTCAAATTGGCTTGGACATGGAGTACTGTCACTTGGATTTAAAAATGGCTGGCTGAGTGCAAATAAAGGGTAATGAAAAATGGCAATGCATCAAGCTGGTGGGAGGTGTCTGGTGGAGCTCTGCAGGGATCACTGTTTGGTCCTGTTTATTTAACATCTTCATTAACAGTCTGCAAGAGGGAGTGAAACAGCATGTTAATTAAAGTGACACGTAATAATAAATCAGGAATTGCTCCTAATGCCAGCACTAGTACTTCACAGAAACGCAGAGCACTACTGGGGTTTCTGGAGAGGTTAAACGTGGCACTACAGACTCAGCTGAGATGCTCTAATTGCATTCCACCTTTTCCAGAGAGTGGTCCAAAACACACTCTAAGTGGGAGCCAGGAGCCTGCTGGCAACCCAGTAATTTAGAGCATGATTGCCCAGTGTATACAAACTCAAGTAACTGGAAACTTCCATGGAAAGACACGATTTCCTTTTCCCCCGACACTCACAGTGTATCACATTCAGTGTGAGAAATTAGTCCAGTTCAGCTCACTCATCTGATGGAAAACCAGTGTTTAGGGGGAGTTTTTAAATCAGTTTCCAGTTGTTTCTACATTTCATATTTTGCATGACTGCTAAATGTAATGTAATAGAGGAAAGGGAGGGACAGGAGGAACTGGTGGCAGGTCTGCATCTTTTTGAATCTGTTATATTGGACCAGTTATTACAGAAAGCACCCTTCATGCACAGATTTATAGTTTCAGAGGACAAAATTCAGCATTTTAAAGTAGTGTTTCCACAGTGGCAGGATACTAGTCTATTGCTACAACATACTAGACTTTAATTATAACTACTTTTAAAACCCTCAGATAAGTAAACATAAAGTTGCTCACTGAACAGTGGTGAAAATTGATCAAAGACTACATAAGTCACAGAAAAGACTTCCCCAAATAGGCTGGGATGTTGGGAGTCAGTCAGAGACACCTATTTCTCTTTTATAAACATACATAATATAAACCTGGATCTTAAATAAGAGTGTTATTATCTCCCTGCTTTGAATGATTTATAGCAGCTTATCTGGGCTGGCCCTCGGGCTGCTGCACTGCACTGAATCATAA